TTGTGTCCCTAGATGTGGCACTGATTAGAGCTCAGTAAACATGTGCTGGATGCAGGAATGAATGAAAAGCCACTCACAAATGCAACACAGCTGTAAAACAGGATGTGCACTTAGTTCCAATCCTAACTTGTCTCCCGGAGGAGAGTGATCCTGGGAGAAAACGCACGCTTCCTTTGGCCCAGGAGCTAAAGAGGAAAACTGATGACTAATCTGCTACTTAGTTTTTTAAAACTAGTTTTGAAACTAATGGCGTAAACCAAGTGCAATTTGACAGGACATGAATATTATCTGAGCTAGCAGCATATCATTCAGATGATTTAATTACTTAGTAACTCCTAGGGCTTAGCTGGTATCTTCAAGTATTTTTACACAGCACACCATTGAAACTGAGTTGGTTTTGTTTTTTGTTTTTTTTTAAGCAATTAAGTTGCAGAGATTTGAGGGAGGTTGAAATGAACAACACGGAAATGCAGTGCCTCGCCCCAAGAACAGGTTCTCAGAATCACTGTAGAGGAAATGACAAGGGTGCTGTTTTTTCTGGGTTCAGTGCCTTTTTGTTTGCTATTTTGGGCACTATTCCTGGCACCGAGGCCGGCAGTGACCTGGTCGCTAGGGGCCACCCTGACCACACAACCAGGGAGGGAAGGACATACCCAGTGGGGTCAATCACACCCTCGGCACAAGCAAAGCTGAGAGGGCAGCTCCTGGCCTGCATTTCCCTTGGGATCCAGAATACCAGAGACAGTGGGAAACCTCAGTCACCAGGTGTCACCTTCCCGGATTGAGGTCCCCAGCAGGCATCACCAGCCTGACCTGAACACGGCAGTGTTGGGGATTGGCCTGCTTTGAAAGGCAGACTGGATGTAAGATAGTTCTCATTCTTTTTTCTTCCCCTCTCTCCTACCTCCCTGGAGAGATGCTGGTGGCGCGACCCTGACTCCGTCTTGTGCTGGGGAGGAGGCACTAATGCCTGGATGTGCTGAGCATGCAGTGACAAGAGAGGGACCCGTGTTGCCTTGCACAGGAAGATAGGCTTAGTGCCCATCAACAGTGGCAGGCCACTTGCCTGACCTTGTTTCTGCAAAGACCACCTCAGGCACAGCAGCTCTCTGCAAAGTAAATCTCAGGCTAAGCCACTGCAGGAGCTGCTGCAGAAATGGGCACCCTCTCTGTGACAGTGTATCCCATTCCCCCAAATTCCAGTGAGTCACAGAAGGTCAGAGCCAGTAGACACCAGGAGATGTTTATCCTTTTCCTGTCTCAACTAGACCCTGGGTCTAACCATATCCGGAGGTGGACACTGGCCTGTTTCAGGATGTAATTCAGGGCCACCCTCTGGAAGTACCCCTTGTATTGATCACTAAGCATGTGTCCTCTGCAGTGTGCACAGCATCTGGTCATGTGTTGACATGAAAAGTTCCACCTGTGCTCATTCAGCAACAAAACACCTACTCGGCACCTATGAGGACCCATACAGGTACTGGGGGCATGGCAGGAGCCCAAAGACAAGGCTCCAGAGAGCAAAGATCAGTGTGAAAGGTGAGCACAGAGCTGGCGAGTGGTGTGCAAGCAGGAGTGGGAGCCGAGGTGGCAGGCAGGGTGCGGGGAAGATGCATGGCCTGTGCTGTGGTACCCAAGTGACCCCACAGCTTTGTACCTGCCCCCATGAAATCATTTTTATGTACGTAACGAGACTTCCTCTCACTGCCCACACCCAGGAGGGTTCAGGGTGCCCCACTGCCCTTGCAGCCAGCTTGTCCACACTTGTGCCTTTCCATACCAGCTGTTTGATGAAAACACGTACGTGTGTATTTCCAGTCCCACCCTCCCTGGACCTCCAGGCACACATCTCCCCGGACCTGCCTTGGGCACCTTCAATTTAACCAGCCCCCACTGAGCTCCTGATCAACTTTCCAGCACCCGCTCCCCCTGCCATGTTCCAGGTCTAGGAAACCGCAGCCCCATTCTTCTACTGCACAGGCCAAAAGCTCTCTCTCTTCTCTCCCAGTCCACATCTGACCCGGCAGCAGATCCTCCAAACCCGACTTTTGGAATCTGACCACTTTAAATGCCCCCAAGTCACTGTCACTCATATTGGAATGGCCTCTTAACTGGCCTCCCTGCCTCTGCCCCTCCCCCCTCCACCACATGTCAGTCTGTGCTGGCCAAGCTGGCAGAATGAGCCTGTCAACATGAACCTCAGATCATCTCTCTTCTCTGCTGTAAATCCCTCAGTGGCTCCCCACCAATCTCTCAATGTTCCCCAAAGCATAGTACAGCCGGTCTTGCAGGATCTTGGGCACAACCAGACACACAGCATTAACACCTGCATGTTGATAATCCTCCCAGAGAAAGCACTGGCCTAGCGGGTCTGGGTGCCTCCTAGGTGCCTGCCTGCTCCCCACCCATCCCACCCCTGCAGGAGGAGGATGTCTCCATCCAGGTCTGGAAGAGAAGTGAGATCTGGGCAGACTAGAGAAAGGGAAGGGGGTAACCTCAGGCCAGCGAATCCCCTTCCAGCATGTGACATGCCACAGGGGCCACTGCTTCAGAGACAGCATCTAGCTCGGCTCCATTTCATAGCTGAGGACAATGAGGTCCAGAGGGGGACTCTGGACCGCAAAGTTCTTAGAAATGTAAACACTTCCCAGAATCATGATGATGTGCATGCAATTCCCCACTAAAGACGTGGGCCTCAGCTGCAGACGGACAAGCTGCATCGTGTGTTTGCACAGATCCACGGATGCATTCCATCCACGTGGATGCAACTGCCAGCCTCCTAGAGCCAGCCTCCCACGCAGGCAGCAGTGGGCGCCGGTGTTCTGACGCTGTCTTGTGCCTGGGGAGCAAGGAATGCCTGCCTGTGCACTTAGCATGAGAAGTCAACCCCTTACTTTTAACAGTAGGCCAGTATACTTTGGGGCTTTTAGAAGAATTTAGGAGTTTCTACTTTTACAATACACGGATTTCAAGTGATCTAAAATTTTACATTTTTATATTTCTCGACTTTGTTACAGTATCATTTTTGCACAAGTTATTTGTTATTGTCAAGGTAAAAAAGTGACTTTTTTTCTGGGGGCAGGGAAACCTTATAGATGATGATTTAAGGTTAATTTTCTACATAAGACAAATCAGTGCCCTTTTATTCTCTCTGGGAAAAAAAAAAATCCCTCCAAACTGTGTTTCACAGAAAATCAGAAAGAGGCCAGGGCAGGGGAAGGTTCTAGGATGATGAAGCAGACTGTGGGAAACAGTACAGCAGCGCCCGCAAACCTCTGGGAAGCTCCCCCAGAAAAGCTAGATTGGAGTGTGGTCTACGGACATCACCACAGGTGCGGCAGAGAGCTACGGGAAGACCGCAGAGCCCTTGTGGGTGCCTACCGAACGAGACATGATGCTCATTCTCATTCTCTTCCCTACTGCAGCCCTGCCACCTAGGTCCATGCCTGGCTCATAGTAGAAGTTCAGTAAAGAACCAGTTAAATAAATGATTATTAACCAAATGGAGAGGTATGAAAGGTTGTAAAATTACCAGAGAAACAAATAACCTGAAAGCAAAATCAAGAAAACCATCCCAACAGCATTGAAAAGAATTAAAGTACTTAGGAACAAATCTCACCAAGGAAGTATAAGGCAGGTGTACCAAACACTACAGAACAATGCTAAAAAAGTTAGAGAATCTAAATAAATGGGAATACACCCCTATTCATGGATCAGAAAATTCAGTACTGCTAAGATGGCAATACTCCCCAAACTGACCTATAGAGTCCATGAAATCCCTGTCAGAATTCCAACCTTTATTCCAGAGATTGATACAAGCTGATCCTATAATCCATATGGAATTGCAAGTGACCCCAAATAGCCAAAACAATTTTGAAAAGGAAGAACAAAATTGGAGGACTCCTAGTGCCCTATTTCAAAATATATACAAAGCTACAGTGACCAAACCAGGGTGATACTGGCATAGGTAGGGACAGATCTGAGAGTCCAGAAATAAACTCATACATCCATGGACAATCTATGACACAAGGATGCCAAAATCATTTAATAAATGAGGGAAATAATAGTCTTTTTAACCAACAGTCTCAGAACAACTGGATAGCTGTATGCAAAACAATGAATTTAGGCTTTTACCTAACACTCTACAAAAAAATGAATTCAAAATGGATCAAAGTCCTAAACTAAGAGTTAAAACTGTAAAACCTATAAATTATATTAAAAAAAGAAGAGAACATAAGTTTCAACCTTTGTGACCTCAGATCAGATAATGGTTTCTTAAATATGACATGAAAAGCACAAGCAACAAAAGAAAAAATAAACTGAAATTTCAGCAAAATTAACTTGTGTACATCAAAGACAGTATTGATTAAGTGAAAGAACCTGCAAAATGGGAGAAAAAAGTTTGCAAACCATGTATCTGATAAGGATCTAGTACCCAGGATACTTAAGGAACTCTTATAACTTAATAATAAAAGGGAAACCACTCAATTTTTAAATGGACAAAAGACTTAAAGAGACATTTCTCCAATGAAGATATAAAAATGGCCACTAAGCACATGAAAAGATTCCCAGCATCACTGGCCATTGGGGAAATGCAAATTAAAGCCACAGGGATACACCACTTCACACCCACTAGGATGGCTATAATTTTTAAAAAATGGAAATAGCAAGTGTTGATGAGAATGCAGAGAAATTAAAACCTTCATATATATGTGCTAGGAATATAAAATGGTCTAGCCACTGTGGAACACAGATGGGTATGGGATTTCCCCTTGGAGTGATGAAAAGGTTCTGGAATTAGGTAGCGGTGATGGTTGCATAACATTGTGAATGTACTAAAAAGCCAGTTAATTATAAATGATGAAGTTCATACTATGTGCATTTTACCTCTATTGAAAAAAAAAAAGAATTACCAGAGACACTGAAATTAAATAAAAATCCATAGTTAACAAAAGGGTTGAAATACAGAAGTGGTCATGAAATTCCTGAGAGCTACTGACCTTGTTTCTCTGGGTTGCGGACCTGGGATGGCATGTCTTGGATTTCCAAGGTCCATTCCCCCTCAGCCTTTTCTCCCCAGCAGTGCACGGTCATGAACTCCCAGTTTGTAAACCCTTCGTTGGAATGATCCAGCAATCTGCAATTGGAGACCTAGGGTTAGAAAACGGGGGTCCTGAAAGTGGTTGGGGATGGGGGACAAGTTCAAGAGAGGCTCTGTCTTGCCTCAGAATTCCTCAGGTGACTGTATGATCTGCTGAACAGTGCCTCAAGGACAGCAGGTGTGAGAACAGGGTAGAGGCCTGGCCCCAGCTGATGCGAAGAGGCTGCTGAAAGGGTGACTTGCGTTATGACACAGCACTGGACAGCAGGCTCACCTCCATTATCTCACTGGGTCTCCTAGACACTCTGAGAGGCAGGCAAGTCAGTGGTGGTCTCCTCCATCCCATCCTAACTTACACAGGGAGAGATGCAGGTGTAGTGATTTGCTATACAGGTCAAACAGCCAGGAACCAGCTGGGCTGGAACCGCATTCTGACTCCTGTTCGTCTTTCCATCACCAGCAGGTATTTAAGAGATCTCCAACCCATGCCCTCCATCCCCATGTTCCTTCAGAATGTGCTTGGTCCCTTCCCACCCCAGAGCAATCCTACAGAGCTCAGGACGCCAATGCCTGAACACATATAAGCAGACAAAGACTGGGCCTCAGGATTCTTTTACTTAAGAAACAAGGGCATCACAAAGGAAGCCTTTCAAAAACCCTGGTTTGTGGTATGAACGAAACTTGCACGCTTGTCTTAGAGCCAGCTCTGGTGCTGTCCTCCAGAACAGAAAGAAGGAAAAACGTACAACTACCCAAACTTGCGGGAAAAGTACTGTTCCATTATCTCCAGGGCTTAACTGGTTGGGAGGTGGCTGGCGAGGGTGGGGAGGAACAGAAGCTCCCTCCGGCCGGCAACCTCCCCTGGCAGGTCCTGCAGAGCCTCTCTTGGTTCTTCCAGACCTGATGGTCTTTCTTGGGATTTCAGCTCTGGCCGCTTTGCTCATGTTTGGTTTGAGCAGAAACAGGCAGCAGCTCATGGGCACTCTCTTTCCAACACTGAGGGCCCCCCTCAGTTTTCTCTCCTTAGAAGAAACTATTCCATGTTGTTATCTTTTCCTCTTCCTTCCCAGTCTGATTTTCCATCTCTACTTTGGAACAACTTTTTTTTTAACAGGTATTTAAGAGGTCTCCAACTCATGTCCTGCATCCCCATGTTATTTACTGCTCATTAGAAATTCAGATACATATGTTTTGTGTGATATAAGCCTCAGTTCCCCATTTGGGGGTGCTCTGAACAGCCGATGAATGAAATTGTCTATCAAGGGACCATTCTTTGCACAGAGAAGAGTGAGAAGAGGGGGCACCCTGCACTCTCTTTGAAGAAACTGCAAAGGTCAAAGCTAATTTTTACACAATGCCAAACTGAATCCAACGCCCTGGGCAGAGGACAAAGACAAACTGTCTAAAGCACTTAGAATGTCAACTTACTCCTGGTGAAGAAAATCTGGCAACCTGAAAAAGCTGCCGAATTAAGCACGATGTGAAATAAAGTGGAGGGTAATAGATCCTAAATCACAAACTCATCATATAATCACATAATCTGTGACTTGGGAAAGAACAACTTCCCAAGACTCAGGGGACTGCCCAAGGGCCTCGGGGCACATGTGAAGGTCTTGGTGGCACAAGTACAGCAACTCCCAGCAAATGGGTAGTAATGAGCCAAATGAATCCACAGGACCTGCGCTCTGCCATCCCAGGGGCTCCAGCACTGGGCCTGAGCAGAAGGATGGCTGGGGGAAGGGAAAGAGAACAGAGTGGGCGGGGCTGGGGGGAGGAGCGCGGGGGATGCTGGAAGGTTCCCGCATGTCAGGTAGACAGATAGATGTAAGTAAGCAGGACAGGAAGGGCGCTGTGCCAAGCATTTTCCTCTGTATCATCACATCAGTTCTTGCAATATTCCTGACTGTGACGGGGATAAAATGACATTCCCAGAGTGAGGAATAGAGAGAAGTGGGGACCCAGCCGGGAAGTGAAGGAGCTGGGCTGTGATGCTGGTGTGAGGTCCTGCAGGGCACTACTACCCTGCTTGCTTGCTGTCCATCGCCTTGACCCCTGAGCTTTACCATGGCTGTTGCCAACCCAAGTCACTTGACACCAGCACCTAGGTCCTGCCTTGAGGTCAGGGGTCACCACCTCAGTTGCCTCCTGGTGTCTGGCCTGGGGGGCCCCAGCAGGGTGACTTCACCAGAGCCCAGAGACACGGAACTTGTGCCTGGCCTCAGTACTGGTGCCAGGACAGAGACATGGGGCACTGAAGTAGAATCACTCATCTGCCCAGCTACAGCCTAGTGTTTGTGCAGGAAATGAGGATCCATATTGGAGAGCTTCCAGTTTTTAAAGAAATGTTAGAAATTCAGGCATTTAGATGAAATCTCTAAAAGTTATAATAATAATAATAATACTATAATAAAAACAACCCTGGTTGCAAAATAGCATTAAGCTGCAGCTTGCCAGCTGGTACATTCAAACTGCACACACCCTTGCTTATCTCCTGTGAGCAAAGGCAGAGTGTGGCCTCGGCCTACCTTCAGGAGGGAGAGATGCCTTGTGTTGCTCTTGTGCTACGAGGGTGGAACCTAGTAGGAGCTGAGGTTGGTGGCCAAGTCTGAAAACCCGTGAAGCCAGGGTCTGGTCTCTGCGCTGGTCCCAGCATACCAAGGACAAATCCACTGCCCGCTGCCCACTGTCCCACCAGCCAGCTGCTGGGGAGTTGGGGGCACAGTACACCTCCCCACTCCCTCAGACAAAGGTGTGTCTGCCTTACATTGCTGCAGGGCAAGCAATCTCTGTCTTATGCAAAGCAGAGGAGGAGTAGAAGGGGTTTAAGAAAGAATGCATGCGAAGCCTGCCTGGTCCTGAATGGAGGCTTACACTCAACCCCCATTTCTGAGTCCTACAGCCTGTGCAACGCAGCAGCCCCAGGCAGGAAACTGAGGAGTCAAATAGGCTCACACAGGGCAAGCAGGGAGGGGGGCCGCAGTCCAGCAGGCAGAGCAGTCTCAGGGTGCTTAATGAGAGGGTGATGGACACAGTTGCCAGTTCTATTTTTTAAGAGAAGCTAGAAATGCTAATCTGTCTCTGAAACCTACTTCCAGCCCCCCAACTTCCCCCAAGCTCCTGGAAGTCCCTTCCCTCCAAGTTTCTGCAAGTCGCATAAATGGCATCAAAGTGCTTCTCCTTGTTTCTAATGACTCATTGCTTTCCGCAAACTGCCTGAAGCTCCAGAATTCAGGCCTGTTTCTCAGTGCTCCAGGGAAACGGGGGCCCTTTTAGGCACATGGTCCAGAATGCAGCAGCAAGCAGCCTCTGAGCACCCTACACAGGCCCAGCTGTGACTCCCGCAGAGCAGGGCCTGTGCCTACGCAGGTCCTAAAGCACAACCCCCGACAGGGCAGGACAAGCTTCTGGAGACAAAATAGTGCTCCTTTGATACACGTTCTCACTTAAAATGTCGAATAAATATGATAAAAATCATCTTCAATGCACTTCTAAGAGCAATTAACTCATAGCCGGAATTCCATAAATTACTCTGCCACACAGCAGAACCACCACAAACCCTCTGTCGTTACTGCCTAAAAACGAGTTGTCCAGGAGTGCTGGAGCCCTTGTTTCAGGCAGCTCGTTTTCAGGTTTGTGGGCCCTGCATGTCAGTGTCTCCAAGGGGAAGCAGCTAGTGGAACCAACGAGCCTTCATCCCAGGGTGTCTTGCAGGGAGGCTGTGACCTTGGCCTGGACAGGCCCTCATGGTGAGCACCAGATCCGACCCTGGACCAGCCTAGCCTTACCTCTTAGCCAAAAGTTGAGACTTGGTTCCCGAGGGAGAAATCAGGTGGATCTGGAGGTCTCCTCGGCGTGGGTGGGAGATAGAGACACGAGCCACCACGTGTTCCAGGTAGCCCACACGCTGGTCTGAACGGTCGGCGCAGGCGGTGGTCAGGGTGGTGGTCCGCAGCGTCTGCACCACAGGGATGCTCCTGGGAGAGGAGGGAGGAGCTTAGTACTGGGCACCAGAGGCTCTAAGTCTCTCTCACATGAGGGCAGTAGATTCAGGCCTTCCCTGTGTGCCAGGAATAGCCCAGAAAGAGCTTCCACCGTATGTCTCGCTCTCAGATGCTACTAGTTGAGTTTTATCACATGCCCAGAAGAGGTCGTCATTCTGGAATTTGCTTAGAGAGATTTCTAGAATGGCTTCTTGGGAAGACTCAGCTGACACACCCAGTGATCGGCACCCCCCTTGGTGCCCAGGAGGTGGCTTCTCCCCAAGCAGCATTCGGCCAGCTCGTTTCCTCAACCACCTAGGCTCTGCAAGGCTTTAAAACCCCACTACTTTGTTTCCAAAATCGGCCTTGAAAATATGTCATGATGCTGAATCACAACAGCAAACATTTCCTGAGCTGACTGCATGCTGGACACTGGACAGTAGGCACCAGTCTGAGCATTTAGAAGCATTAATCTATTTAATCCAGAGAGAGGTCAAGGATCATGCCCAAGGTCACACAGCTACTGAGAAACAGAGCTGGGGTTTGAGGCTCCAGAGCCCACTGCCTCCACTTCTGGGTCATACTGCCTCACAAGAATGCTTGTGGGGACCCACACTGGTGTCAAGATGCCAGGAAAGAGTTGGACAAGGAGCCCAGGACAGAACTGGCCCCTGGTGCTAAATGGACGGGTTGAGAATGTAGTGTCTGGACCAGAGACGCAGAGGATGGATAGGAGCTGAGCGGCCCCCGACTGTCCTGCATGAAGACTGGGATCCCCTTCCTCTCTTGCCCTCTGATAGGATTGCATGGGGTTCTCTTTACAAGTGCAGGGCAGTTTCACCATATGGGATGGAATCAGAAGACAAGCACCGAGTTCCAACCATTCACAAGTCAGTCCCACCAGAATTTTCCAACAACTTCCACAGAGAAAGCATACACAAAGCCTGCACATGGGAGTTGCTCCCACATCCAGGCTGGGCCCCCCCACATATGCTGAGCCACTGTGGCTCACGCCAATGCCTTGTAAACTGAAGACAGGACTTCCCACTGCCCGGCAGCACATTAATAATCCCCCACTGCTAGCCAGTGCTCAGTTTATTAGGAGGCGCACTTTTCCCATTATGCCCCAACTTTCCTCTCAGGAGGGGAGGCTTGAAGTATGGGTTTGACATCTCTCAGGAATTATATCTCTTGGCTCTACAGGGCCTGAGCCATAAAAAAACAATCAAAACAGTTATAAACAGTGATGTAATTCCCTAGGAACCTCTGTAAATATTTGAAAACATGATTTGCCTGCATCATAAACTGATTTAGAGGTGCTGACTTCTTTCATTGCCTTCTCCTGTATTTTACTGTCTATGTTTACTGGTCAGCAGACCCCTGCTGGGGCAGATGCAGAACAGAACAGAAAGTTCTAGAGCATTCCAGCCCAGCTGGGCCCACAGACATCTCCAGGTGAAGTATTCCCTGTCCCCTGCACTAAGAAGGCAAGGTGGGTGAGTCAGAGAGAAGGGACTCACAGTGTGAAGACTCACTAAGTGTGGCTCCCAGGAATAAGCCTCATGTTTCAAACTCCTGTTTGAAAGCCATAGCAAAGTTTAAGACACTGTCTGTGGAGACAGTGAAGGTTCCTATGGCCAGGATTCTCACCTGGCCCTGGTCGGCTTGCTCACACACACGTGAGCAATACATTGTTACTGACTCTATATAAAATAGAGCTCCGTCCAGTGCTCTGGGCTGCTGCATGGCTGCATGGCTGCAGGGCTACACGGCTACAGGAGAGCAGAAGCTGGAGTGGTGGCAGTATTGAGGACAGAGACTGGGACGGCTGCACGGGCAGAGATGCCCAGAGGCAGAGACCATCTTGCTACATGCAGACTTACTCTGAGTGGACGGGATTCTAGTGGCTGACCTGCCACCGTGGGAATAAAGTTGGGTATAAACCCTTTTACCCCAAGAATGTTCCATTGCCATTCCTTGGTCTCACTGAATCCGTAGTGAACTTGCCTGGGGCTGAAACCCATTGGCAAGACATTGTCTCAGCCCCACCAACCATTTGCTAATTGGGAGGTGGAGCAATCACTCTGCCCTAGAAAAAGACTTGGTATCCCAGCAAGGAAACCTTAATCCTAACAACAAGGTGCAAGGATTTCCGAGTACAGAAACAGGGTGAAAGAAATTGCAATCAAACCCCACCCTCGCCTGCCTGTGCCCAGCACCCAGTGTCAACACCCAGTGAAAAAATATCCAGAGAGTGTTAAATGCCCAGTGAAATAATTAAGTCTCTTGTACTGGACCTTTTAACTTCTGCTAAGGGACGTCAGGCACTGGAGGTTAGAAAGGTTGGCTGGTCTAATGCACTGGGGCCACTCTGCTGCTGTCAGCAGGGTGGCTGGCTTGGGGTGGGCAGCACAGAGTTCCTTCAGGAGTTAGGGGCTTAGCTTGATTAGGTTTTCAAAGCTAAGGCATCACCCTCAGTTGAGGGCAAGGAGCCCTCACCCCCAGGGAACAAGGCTAATTATAACAATTAGTTTTTCCATGAAATCTCTAACTGTGTAAGCTCATAGTAACAAGCCTGCTGGCCTCCTCATTTCTGCAAGTTCTAGGGGAAGGCAGGAGCCCAGGACAGCCCCTCAAGGACAGCTAGTTGAGACCTTTCTCATATGCAGTTAGTCTTCACCACGTTTAATGTCTACTGTTCCTGTTGAAATAAATAACCTAATATTCCAAGTCAGGAGGCTTTTGAATTTCCTTTAAAAGAGGAGGGTGGGGAAGGCTTCAAAATGTTTTAGGATGTTAAGCTGAAAATTTCCTGTATTTCAGATAGAAACTCCAAGTAGAAGTGATATCAAAAGCCATCACTTTGTAGGGATTAACTCCAAGGCAGAAGATGAATGAAGAACCATCAGTGGAAAGAAAGAAAGAAAAAAAAAAAGAGAAGTTATTTCCTACCCTACTCTTATTTCAGAGATAACACAAAAAATGCAGGTCAACTGCTACACAATTTATTTTTTAGATTAAACACATGCAGGGATTATCTTTGTCCCATGAACACAGTTCAGCTGTATTTCAATCAAGAAAATGGATTTAGAAAGATCTTAAAGTTCCCAAGATAACTGAAAACGTTCCACCGCTGTTCGAGTCTAAAATTGTTGTCTGTGGGCACAAAGCCATTTTCCTAGGGCCCGAAAGGAACCCAAGGACTTAAAAGATTCCAAAGGAGACCCAGCAATATTTAAGCTTATGGAGGCTGCCCTACTTTGAAAAGATCTCTGCAGACAGAGACTTGTCACTTCCTGTTGAACCACATTTCAGACTTAATTACTAAGACTGAGATGTTCTTCTTTCATCCTCAAGTCCTTGCACAGCTCCCTTCTGTGGGAGCGGAGTGTTAACAGACAGTGGCCTTCATGACAACTGCCTAGGACCTGGTTTTCTCCAACGCATAATACCATCTCGTATCTTGAAAATATGTAGAAAAGGTCACAATTTGCTAAATTCAAGGCACTTGCCAAATCACAACACTTAGAATCTTATGGCATTGGAATACCATTCAGCAGCAAAGAAATATTTTCAAGTACAGGTCTCCTCTGCTGTCTGAAAGTAGTTCCTATGAAACCTTTCCTGAGCCAAAATGGCATAAAGTGAAGAAGCAATCACCACTAATTTATGTGAAAATTTTTTTAGTGTCCCCAGACCCCCCAAAAAAAACCTCTCTTAGGCTTTTCTGATACCTGGGGTCACATCTTGCTAACGGATGCACAAAATAGATCAATATAAAGCACAGATGCTCACAAGACACACTTCGCAGCTCCGGCGGCTGGATGCCCAGATGCTGAGTGGGGTTCCCAGGGAGGGAGGGCGGTAGGGTCCCTCTCGCTGCTGGGGCTGCCCTCCTCTGCAATGGCTTGCTGCAGAACAAACGCTGAAGGCTATTTTCACTTTTTTCCCTAAAAGTAAAAATCCTCTTTGATCTTCGGATTTCTTTCTGTTTGAAAAAACTGGTACTAACATAGGTCTCTTGTAAAAGTGAAGTTGCATAACCCAAACTTTCAAAATGTTGGCTATACTTGTGAACTATACGTCAGGGGAAAGGGTAGGGGAAGGTGGGCCCCAGACAGAAACCCTCTATCCCTCCACCACTCCACTCATCCTTCTGCCCTACCTGGAAAATGGCAAGTCAGTATTTCTCATTCCCACCTGGAAGACCTCTCTCCAGCTCAGCCACGGGGGCCCACAGAATTTCCAGGGCAATGCCACCTTGCCCAGCTGCAGGGCTGGGGCGAGAGTAGGCTAGACTAATTCCTCGTTAGACAAATCTGAGATCATGCTGAATGGGAGACCCACCAGCATGGGAAGGCAGCAGTGTCTGTCTGGAGGAGAGGAGGTGCCTGCAGAGCCAAGGGCCATCACAATAGCAGGTCAATCACAAGGTCAACCAGGCAACCCCTTCACAGACCTCTTAAAGGGTATTCAGTGGAGTGGGGAGAGGTTAACTGGGACAGACTTGTTAAATTAAATGGTAGGAAAGAGACTCAGTCTGTTGCAGAACACAGAGCCATCTGAACGGGGATAGCAAGAAGCCTGAGTCACTTCTTAGATCTATGTTCTAGGAGGAACCTTCTTGACTGGGCAGTCATTTGAGTTGGGTAAACAGATTCTACGAACTATCTTATTCCTATTAGTTCACATTTAGAGCTTTCCTTCAATGAAATTACTTTTGATTAACAAATTACAGTGCATCATTTAGGCTGGAAATGAAATTTAACTAAAAAAAGAAAAAGAGGCTAACCCAATACATTAATTTGGACAATGCCATCCATGATTAATCAGGTTGTAAGGTGTTTTAATGTACAATGTTTACATTTATGCAACTTTCATGATTCACGATTCCATCTTTGCAAATTCACCTACTTGCTAAGATTTATTTGTAACCCCCAAATTAACGCTTGAGATGCGGTTATTTGTAGATATATGCAGAGCAGCAAAATATTTGGGTCACCAGATACACACATTTGCTAGAACCCGGCTGAGTTCTAGCAAAACAATGTTGCCTTCTTATTTCAACTGTAAATAAGCATACAACACTTGTAAAGAAGTATCTTTTTTGTGTTCTAGTTAGTGCCACATTTTTCACATTTTTAATGCTTTTCTGGTGGCTTCCCTATTTTAAATGGTCCCCAAGCATTAGAGCTGGAATGCCACCTAGTGTCCCTAAGTGCCAGAAGGTTGCAATGGGCCTTACAGAGAAAACATGTGTTAGATAGGCTTCAACCAGGCATGAGTTACAGTGCTGCTGGCCAAAAGTTCCAATGTTAATGAATCAGCACCAAATACTAAATAAGGTGTCTTTAAACAGAAACACACATAAAACAAAGTTCTGTACGGATGAAAACGAGACCAGAGGCCCCCAGGAACCCAATTCTGTATTTCCTGTTGTAGTGATGGTTCTGATGAGGAAATATACAGAAAGTTCTCAAATCCCTCCCCTCCTCGGGGTCTGGTAGGAAGCCAGGAAAGCTAAGAAAGTCAAGGAAACAAAGTTTCTGTTAAGGCTTCCACAATATAAAGGAATCACAAAGTGCTTGGGTGCTTGAGATTGAAACAATGTAACAACGTATTCCACTCCTCCCCCCACCCCCCCACCAGGACTCAATGGTTTGGAACAGCTTGTCAATCATAGTCATGGAAACCCACTAGTTTATAATTCGGTATTTGGGTAACATTCACAGAAATGGATTAAAATATAACTAGCATCCTGAATACACCTATAGTGACCGAATAGCTCCTACTACAACAGTTTCTGCGTGCTGACTGCCCCCTTAGCTTTGTAGTAAATGTATAAAAAGGCTTGGCCCTCCTGTAATCCGGGCTCAGACCTTTGGAGATCACTCTCCTCTGAGGCTGCCAATGTGAAATAAACCTCAACCCTCCAAGATCTCTGAGTGCTGCTTGGTTCTTCCATTAGCGATCCAGTCCAGGTTTCCTGGTTTTCTGCAACAGTTCTGTATTCAAGAATTCACTGCTTGTTTTTGCATTGCTGTGATCATTCACTGAAAGTGGCCTGTGATGTGCTTCCCTGCTGTGGGTGCTGGAGAGGTGGGTCAGACACCCTGACCTCTGTTCTGGGGGCCTCAGACTGTTTTGGGGTGGAGGTGGGTGATGGTGGTAAAGAGACAGCAACATCTGACAGACAGCACCTGGGGGCAGCGGGCCTATCCCCTCATCCTCACTCCCAACCCTGCGGCCCCTCTCTCCTGGTGGGCCCCCTGGCCCTCTCCACACTCCCAGGGGCTACTTGTTCTCTCTCAGGAGGGAGACCCAGATGGAGACAAGTTAAATGCATAAGCCCCACAGTCCCTAGATGTACAGCGTCCAGACTAGAAATGCCAGCATATTGCCTGGGGTCCCTATATGACCCTACTTCAAATTAAAGAAAATCCATTTGTCACAGCTTCCTCCTGGTGGGGCCGCTTCTCGTGTCTGTAATGCAGCCCAGATTCTCTCCATTGCAGCCTTTTTTGAGCTGTGCTATTGTTTCAGCTCCTCTTGGCCTCAGCATGATTCAAGGGCAGGTGGAGGAGGCGCTGGACAGAGCAGCCCAGCAGAGGGACACCAACAGGGCCCTGAGCAGTCCCAAGGCACAGTGAGTGTGATGCTACTGTTTGAGCACAGGCAGGATCTGCAGAGAGGTGGCCCGTGGACTCCCCCCGTAATGACCACAGGACAGCCTCCCTGAACTGTGACAGATCCCAGGAGAGGAAGAACAGATCAGGCCTGAGGGGCAGGAGAGGGCAGAGGGGCGTCATTCATTCCTGCCCCTGCACATGACTGTCAACACTCTCTAATGCAGACCCCACATGTCATTCCTGCAGGAATGACACACACGGCCATAGCCTCCTCTAGGACCTCTAGGAGCCTGTACATAATGCTCAATGAACACAGTTCTCTGACCTTCCTCTCATGGGGGTGGCACTGCCCTTCTACTCAAGAGGAAAGAGTAAGCATATCACATGGGACAGCCAGATAAAGAGGCGCTCTCTCTCCCCTTCCTTCTCATTTTCTGCTCTTTTCCATGGCATGCAGCTGAGGCCAAGTCTGGGACACTCAGAGTCCTGGGATTCCACCAGGACAAGGAGAAACGAGAATGAGGCCAGGAGAGCGGGCAGCTGGACCAGGAAACACACGCGGAGAGGGGGCAGTAAGGAGGAGAGGGACAGGTAGTGTGAGAACCCTTGCTTTTCATTTTTAAGCCGTGATGATCCTAGTGGCTTGGGCCCAGCTAGACTAGAACCCTGATGAAGGAAACTGGCCCTCACCACTGGGAGTGCTCAGCAACCCTGGTTCTAAAGACCCTGGAGGTAGGCTGGGGCGCTCTGCCAGGAGATGAAGCCCCAAGGTACACGGAGGCATTGCTTGTTTGTGTCTCCCTCCCCCTCCCCCTCCCTGCCTCTCTCCCACACCCCATCTCTCTCTGGAGGCCCTTATGCCCCTGGGGACAATTGAATGTGCAGTTCCTCACACACGGTTTGGGACAGCAGGTTAGCTGAATATTCCAGAAAGAGTCTGAAACTGCTAAATGTAAAGATGATTTTTCTTTAGAAACAGAAGTCTGATTCTTCTCCTCTATTGGAATCTGTATGGTCCTTTCCTTCCTCAAAGGACAGGAACAATGTCATACTGTATGTTATGGCTGGTTCCCTCAACCTGTGCTGTCTAGACTTCGTGTGCTTTCACTTAGAAAACAAAATAAAATAAAAATACAAACAACCCTTCGCCACCTAGGCACCACTCAACCATCTTAAAACTATTTCTGGCAGGAGAAGAATGCTTCATTGAGGAGCTACCCTGACGGGGAAATCACTGGAAAGGCAGAGCTCAGGCCCCGCCAGGGCCACGGGGAAGACAGCAGCCTTGCTGAGCAGGATCCAGCTCCTCACCTGGAGCTTGAGGATCCACGTTCCAGGTGTTTGCCAGCAAACAAACCGCAAGAAGGCAAAGGCTTCCTTGATTTCACAGACCTTCCCACTTCTTCTGCACTGGACAGTCTAAGGCTCCCCGGAGAAGAGGATGCTTTAAGATGTCAAGACCCTGTTGGGCCTTGGAGGGGTCACCCAGCAGTCAGTCTCCACAACTGGCCGCAGGTTGGGAAGGACATTTTTCAAAAGATCCTTCCATGGCTATTCATCCAACGAGGACTTTCTGAATTCCTCCTGCATGCCGCGCATCAGCGAGAAACACTTCTCTCACTATCTTTTAGGTAAAGAGTGTATTGTAGGAGGTAGATGTATTCAAGGAAGAGGCAATCTCAGAGTGATCTGTATTTGTTAGTAAAGCAGGGGTCACTTTTAATCATCCCATCGTTTCTTTTTCCAAACACACCTTTCCAAACATAGTAGTTACAGCTAGAAAAAAAAGCATTCCCTTCTTTACCAGATATTGAACCCTAGAGGAACATCATTCTCCTTCTTAAAACAGTATAGTGGTAATGGGAGAATTCAGAGGAATAATCTGATTTCTTCTCCTAAAGGAGTAGGGCTCTTGCTATCTGGCTTTATAGCTGATTTCTTTCTTAAACAAAAATTTCATTGAACAAATGTAACTGACTTAGAATAACTTCCTACAAAGGGCAATGTGCGAGGAGTCCTAGCCACAGAGGAAAGATGAAGCCAGGGCCCTACAGCATACTTCTCTAGCCTTGTTAGAAAACTCCCAATGCTATATAGCCTTAAGAAGGTTTTTGGCATCCAGATAAAAGTGAAGTGGAGGGTAAGTGTTCTGCACGCTTTGGATAATAAACTCCCTCCTGTGACAGAGAAGGGGCAGAGACTGCCACGGCCGTTCGTGGCCAATGGAGTCACTGCCAGCAGGCTCTCTGGGCAGGTAGGGTCGGGCCGGGCCCAAGGCTCCGGCCTCTAGAGGGTGACGACAGGGAAGACCTCACCACTGTGGCTCATCACATCCACCGTGCAGGGCCGACCCCTGGGCTGGTTGGCGAGGCCAAGTATTATGGATGAGAATTGCCAATACGAGGATGCGGGTTCAGGCTATAGGACCGACTCCCTACCACAGAGCAATCTGCTGCAAAAGGGAAAACAAAACTGACAGCAAAAGCCTCAAAAAGGTCAGGGTGAAGGAGCATTTCCTCTCCCAGCTCCACAGTCCGTGGGAGGAAATGCTGATGGGTATATACACCTACTGCCATGCACATGCACACACATGACTCCCACTGAGGTGTACAGGAAAGCGTGTGTAAACACCTTCCCCTGCCAACACCTTACAGCAGAGTTGGGTCCAAGCTGACGTGCCTGTAAAGCAGTGTGGGGCCAGAGCCGAGCCTCACCTGGGCCGCTTGTCTGTGGCAGCGACACACACATGCTGTGCGGGTACTGCCGTCCACTTCTTCGCCTCCATGACGAGGGCTTCCGCGTCCACCAGTCCAAATCCATAGAGGTGGCTAACTGGAAAGACAGAGCCTTCAGACCCAGCTCCCCTCCCTCCCCTAGGAATGGAGCAAGGCGGGCTCCCTCACTCTGCATAAGGCACCTGATCCGTGGCCACCATGGTTTGGGGACAAACCACTCCAGGGCTGGAAGGGCCCGGGCTGTCTCCTGGAAGGCCCTGCTGCAGGACCAGGCCTTCTGCGGTCTGTTCCAGGATCCCAGCTGCTTTACTCTCTGAACTATACTCCTTCAGGTCAGGAGTGTGGGCTGGGAAGCGTGTCCCATTTTAGTGCAGAGTGACAAAAAGGGTGTCAAGAGGTGGGCCTGTTACTTGATTTTTTTGAGATGAGGACAGGTTTCCCTATGCTAAAGGGACACGTCAGCATCTGCGCTCCCTGAATCAGAAATTAGGCAAGAGAAACAAAACCTTAAAGCCCTTGGTTCACATGACCACGATGTGTAATAAACCATAAAACAAGGTGGCACTCATCTTTTTTGCCATTTTCTTGCTCTGCTGAATTCCCAGGGTATTCCAGGAAAGTGGCACAGCACGTGGATCGTGAGTGCTCGTGAGCTGGCCTTATCCACCGCTTAATTTGGCAAAAGCAGGTTAGTTTCAAAGTTTAAGAGGCAAGGTTGAGAACTAGATACAATCTATTTTCCTATTTAATTAGGCCAAAATTGAAATGTAGGCCAGCTCTTGTTACAGCACACCACTACCCCCAACATTCCTGCAAAACAAAGATGCATTAGACCTAATCAACGGCCTCCTTATCAAAAGGAATGTCCTTTGGAACTCACAGTAACAATGCTTGACCTATATTTTTCAGATAGTAGTACCAGGCTTGTGTCAAAATAGTTGGACCTGAGTTTCAGAAATGGAAAAAAAAAAGTCCTCTCTAACATAGCATGGCTGAATGGAAATCTTTCCCAATTATCTCTGGTAAGAAGCCAGACAAAGATAGCCAGTGGCACAGTTCTGTAATTACCTGCCAGGGAGGCTCCACGTGTCTGTGTTGCAAGTCCTGACTGTAGCTGATCTCATGGCACCCAGGGGCAGCACCAGGCTGTGTTGGGGGTGGGGGCTTTGTTGCCCTATGGGTTTTTTTATAACATGGGGTCTTGGTGACAAAAAATTTTTATAGTTAGAAAGTAACTTCCATGCCTATCTCAGTGTCCTCCTTGTACAGATGAAGAAACTGAGGGCTACTTTCAAAATCATACAGCTACTCAGGGCAGGGAATGCAAGTTGCCCTTAGGTGCACATAGGCAAACATTGTCTATCTTAATAATTATGGATTTATTTTAATATTCATTAGAAACAAAAGACAACTATACATCAAACCCACAGTTAACTAAATGTAATTAAGTTTCCTTATAAAATAGGTTTCTTTTTGTTAAAAAAAAAAAAAAGCAAGTCAATTTAAAAAGAGCTATTAAGTCAATAGTGGTGCAGGTGGTCCCTGAACATGGTAGAAGTCATGAAGTCAGGGGAACCCTGAATCTAGTGGCTTTAGATTTCTTCCTTAATGTCAGTGTGAGGTTCCCAGGATACTTTTCTTAAATTTCTAGATACACCTTTTTCATTCTGGACACACAAAATTAATGTTGATTTGTGTGGTGATTCTTTTTGAGAAATTCACAACAACCCTTAGTTCAGATTCCAGGAGGTTCCCCAGAGAGCCCGCCAGGCTGTGGTGACCTGTCCCTGCTCAGCCCACCTTTACGACCAGCACCGTTGACTTTCCAGTCGTTCGCTTTCAGGTGGGCTGGCCTGGATGTCTTCACCAGCAGGTGCTGGACATCCCTCCAGGTTAGCTGGCTGCTGCAATGACACAAGGACAGACCACTGATGGCCACACTGGCCCATCAGAGGTGGTGTGTTGGGAGCCAACGCTGAGCCTGGACTTGAGAAAGCCCCACAGGCTCCATTTCCTTGGCAAGGGTTTATTTCACAGCCTCCTTATAAAGAATGGTTCCCAGCAATTAAATCCTGAGATAAAATAGTACAACGGATGACCTAAAATCCACTGCATTAAAAACCCAGACTTGCTGGCAAGCTGTACTTGATTTGTATAAGGGCTACATAGGAAACTGTGGGAGTGGTGACAGCAAGCATTTATACGTATTTGGGCCATTCTTCACCACAATGACCAAATGCCCAGACCCTACCACCGTGGGGACCCACCAGCTTGCAGATTATAATTTAAGATTTTAGTAATTCTAAATTTACAACACATTCATTTTGGCGCATAGTAGAAACATTAAAAAGAACACATTCTCACTAACAAAAATGCACAGACCAGATTTCTTTGATTCTAAGAAACATTGCCCCCCCGCCCTACCCGTTAACTCCTCTGAAACCAAGATCATCTTATGATGCTGCTCTTGTGACCCCCCGTGAGGACTGGTCACTGACAAGTGCTGGAAGTGCCTGAGGTGGTGGCCTTCACCCTCTCTTGATCAGTGCCTGCGCCAGCCCACAGTGGTCACAGCTGTCTCTCCAGTCATCCACTGTGTGTATGTGTAGATATGCATGCGTAGATACATAACATAAAATGTTCCATCTTAAGTACATTTTAAGTTGTAAGTACACAGATCAGTGCCGCTACGCCTGTCACACTGCTGGGCAGCCATCATTGTTCTCATCTTTCCCAACCGAAACTCTTGTGCCCGTCCAACCCTACCTCCCCACTGCCCCTAACCCTGCCCCTCGAACCACGCTTCTATTTTCTGTCTCTGAGTCTGATGACTCTAGGACCTCTCACGTAAGAGGAGCCATAGAGTGTTGTCCTATTGTGACCGGCTTATTTCACTCAGCATAATGTCCTCCAGACTTGTCCATGTTGTAGCAGGTGTCGGGATTTCCTTCCTTTTAAAGGCTGAATAATATTCCATGGTATATACAGACCACATTTTGTTTATTCATTTATCTATCAATGGACACTGAGGTTGTTCCCACCTTTGGCTATTGTGTGTACTGTTATCCTGAACATGGTATACGAATACCTCTTCAAGTCTCTGCTTCCAATTTTTTTGGGTGTCTACCCTCAGGTGGAGTTGTTGGACCATATAATACATCTCTAATTTTCTGAGGAGCCACCATACTGTTGTCCACAGTGGCTACACCACTTTACATTCCCAACTGCCCACTCTTTGCCTGCTCTCCTACTAGGAGCTCATCCGTGGTCTGAGTCTTGGGGTACACATGCACTTCCCCCTTGGGGGCTCACATTCCCCAGGCTGTAGCCCCAGCCTCCTGTGGTTCCTCTAACAGTTACTGCTGCTGTGTGTCAGTGGCAAGCCAGTCACTGACCTCCTAACTGCCTCCCCCCAACCATGTCCATCAGTCCGGATTCCAGGCCTTTGTGTGCACAGGCTGACCTGCTCTCCTGACTTTATCCACTGCCCCTCCTGAGGGCCCACAGCCAGCCTCACTGTGAGAGGAGGGCCTGAATGGCCCAAGGCTTTGCCCTGGGAGAGGGTACAGCCACGGGCTTTAGAGTCCAGTCAGAGAGGATGCTATGTGTGTGATGGGTCAGTTACCGCTCAAGCCAGCGGGGCCTACTTAAGAATGACTAAAGCCAGTGCCCCTGGAAGTTCAGCATAAGGTACCAGGAAGCATGAGCTTCAGAGTAGAGGGCAGAATAGGCCCAGAAAGGGAGAATGTCAGAAACCATCTTATTATGAGGACCTCCATTTTATTTTTGACTCTGGCAATAAAATCACAAATAGAGTTGTATGAAAAACATGTCTAAAAAATAGTGTTGAAAATGGCTTTCAATGAAGCAAAGATTGATGGGAAATCACAGGACTTCCACAAACTGTGGGATGACCTTTGGACAAGTCTCACACATAAGGGTCTCTCTTCATTCCTGCTACAAGCTGTGCAGGGGCCTCCCTGACCCGAGACCCCCTCCACCAGGGCGATCTAGCTTTGCCCCATTTCCTTCTGCAGCAGATGAGAACATAGCTAGAAGTCAAAGCCGTCCACATGCCTGGACACATGAGCTACCCCAGCCTCCAGCTCTCAGCTCAGGCCTGCAGGATCCCTGGTTATGACCAGCTTCTTCCTCGATCAATCCTCTATGTTTATATGGTCGAACTTGACGCTGATTTCAATAAAGTGCGTTTGATCTGCCACCTGTACATCTCTGAGGATGAGATAAAGCAATGAGGAAGATGACTATAAGGGTCTGCATGTGTCCACAGGCCACGTTTAATGGGACAAGTCTGGCATGAAGCAGGGTTTGTTTTCTATTTAGTTTCGATGAGAAAATTCCTTGCATGTTTCCAATACGGAATGGAAGAAAATATAAAACAGTGAATTGCCAAGTATGTGAATTCAACTTTCCACACAAGTAACTAATTATTTAGAGTTTTTAAAAAGAGCCTCAGGTCACAGAAACTAATACTTTGGCCTGAAAATTGAAAACTTTTAGCTGTTCTCTTGCTAAATTGGTAGCATTTGAGCTGCATGCTCTCTAGCCTTGTGCAAACCAACATGCAAACATACATTAATTACCAGGATTTAAAAGCAGCCCAAACATGATTTGAGTCACTTAAAATCTCGTCTACAACAACTTCCTACTTCAAATTCTGGGTTGTTCTAAGGCCGTTTTGATGTCTAAACTAAACATGGTTTTTGACACCATGATTGCATGTGCAATAAACTCTCTTTTCTTTCTGATCCACCCACACGTTAACACCACCAGACTTTTTATTTGGCTTATGACAGAAAAACCATCACCATTTATGAACTAAAGTTTATAAAGGCTGACACACCCTAAAGTGTGGTTTTGGTATATGATGTAGAATGGGAGGCTGGTTGGGGCGTGGGCCCATCTAGCTCCCTGTGGTCTTACAAAGGGTAGGAGACTGTGAGGTTTCAAAGGCAGAAGAAGGGAAGGAGCCACTTCACGCTCACTAAGGAAGGCCTTAAGGAAGGAAACCCTGACACCTGCTACAACACAAAGACATCGTGTTAAGTGAAATAAACCAATCACAAAAAGATAAATCCTGTGTGATCCCACTTACATGAGGTACCTAGAGTAGTCACACTCATAGAGACAGAAAATAGAAGTGTGGTTTCTGGGGGCCGGAAGAAATAGGGAATATTAAGGGCTGAATTGTGTCCCCCAGATTCGTATTTGGAAGACCTAACCACCAGCAGCTCAGAATGTGACTATATTTTGAGATAGGGTCTTTAAAGAGGAAATCACGGTAAAATGGCATCATTAGGATGAGCCCAAATCCAATACAGTCGTGTCCTTATGAACAGATCTAGACAGACACACACAGAGAGGACACAGGAGGAAGGTGGCTGTTTACCAGCTGGGAAGCAAGGCCACAGAAGAAACCCACCCTGCCCTGCCGACACTTCCATCATGGACCTCAGCCTCCAGAACTGTGAGAGCATAAATGTCTGTCTTTAGGCTCCCCAGGCTGCAGCATTTGGTTATGGTGGCCCTAGTCGATTAATACAGGGGACTGTTGTTTAGTGGGCACAGGGTTTCAGTCTGGGAAGTGGAAAGAGTTCTGGAAATGGATGGTGGAGACGGGTGCACAGCAATGCGAACGAGCTTAATGCCCTGAACTGCATACTCAGAAACGGTTAAGAAGGCTCATCTTAAGTTATCTGTATTTTCCTACAATAAAAACTCTTTTAAAAAGAGAAAAGGGAAGGAAAGGAAGGGAAGGGAAGTGGGAACTTACTTTGCTTCTAAAGCCAAGGCGATGATGCCCGCCACCATGGGGGCTGACACCGAGGTCCCTGTGTGGCCATCAGTGCAGCGCTGACGCAGATCTGTGGTGACCTGGGTGAAAGGGCAGCAAGAGGCCACGTCAGCACTCAGGAGAGCAGAGGCTACACCTGATGCACTCCTGGCAGGTGTGATCCTCGGCCTCATGGAAAAGGCACTGCTCAGACACATCTGGGCAGCCACGGTCTCTGCTAAGTCCCTTTGCTCTCCTATGTAAACAACAGACTCACTGAGGGAGTGGGCTAATTACAGGGCAGGAACAGGGGGGCAAGGCAGAGGGCTCACAAGCCGCTGGAAGTCACACACCCTCACTACTGGTGCTCTGTGTGCTGAGACATAAAGCTCAGCCACCATCAAACAAACAGGGGCCCCCCCCATGGAAGTGTCCCCAAGGCAAGACCACCTTCAAGAGCCCACAGGAATGACCTCCATGTACCCTCCTGACTTCAGAGCAGCTGGAAACATGCGGAAGTGCCCAGGGAGCCCAGAGAGCATTTATGCTTTTAGCCAGAGCTCACAGATCATTCTCCACCAGGACGTCCTCCTCAGAGACCTGACTATCTCAAGGCACCCAGTTCTATCTGCAGCAGTAGATGAACCTACAATATTCCTGACCTCACAGGACCTGCTGTGTGGGACTATGAAACTGGCCCTTCTATTTGGGAAGGTGACGTTGGTTCTACTGACTGAGGGGTCTACATGCCTCCTTGGAGGTGCTGACACCAGGCTGGGAGGGAGAATGATTCTGGACCTCACTCTCACACAGCCTGAGCTGCACCTTGCCTTCGAGCTGAAATGGAGAAACAGCCATCATCAGATCAGCACATGTAGGTCCAGCTGTGCAACAAATACTGTGCTAGATGGCATTTGGACCCTGGTGTTACTCCTGTGCACTTGGCAGAGGGAATTCAGGCTGCTAACCAGCTGAGCTTACATCAGGGAGCATGTATCTAGTGCGCCCAATGTAATCACGGGCTCCTAAAAGTAGAAGGAGGCAGAGAAATCTGTCAGAGGGATGAGGCATAAGAGAAACACAACCCATTGCTGCTGGCTTTGAGGAGGGAATTAGGAGGATACAAGCCAAGCAATCTGGGTGGCCTGTGGCAGCTGAGGACAGCCCTCAGCAGACAGCCTACAAGGACATAGGAACGCAGTCCTGTAACTACAAGGAACTAAATCCTGCCAGCAACTGGAATGAGCAAGGAACCCAATTCTCCCTACAGCCTTCAGAAAGGAATGCAGCCCAGCCAACACCTAATTTCGGCCTTGTAAGACCCAGAACAGAGACCCACTGGAGACTGCTGCACTTCTGAGCTACAGAGCTGTAAGATAATAAACTTGTGCTCTTTTAAGCAGCCCAGTTTGGGATATGTGATGAGACAGAGGCAGGAAACTGATCCACCCACCAACCGTAAGGCTGTGGCAGCCCACGTGCATGACCCTCGAGAGAGACTTTCCCCGGTTAGAACCACCCAGTTTCTCTTCCAAGGAGAACATCTTCCTTCATCACCTTTTTGCTAGGCTGCTAATCACCCCGTGCGAGGGGATCCAGTCCGTCATACACACACAGAGGGTTCCACAGGAATGCTGACAGAGACCAGCCTTCTCCTCCACCCAGGTCAGCAGGCATTTGTTTAACACCTTGACCTGGGGAACAGCAGCTGAGGGCAAGGGAGGAGGGATGAGGACACAACCTCTCTGACCCCGGGATCTTCATCTACAAATGGGCATAGTGGTAAGTCCTTCATGGGGCTTCTGTGAAGTCACAGCTGGTAGCCAGAACATACTTGTACTCAGGAAACAGTGGCCATGTTAGAGTAGGTAGATAGCCAAACATGAGCAGAGAGGGAGAGGGGGACTTTGGCCCACTCTTTGTTTACATTCTACCCATTCTGTCCACTTGAGTTGTTCTCATGGGATGCACAGAGTGAGAATACAGATAACAGGTCAGCCAAATCTGGCTGGTCCCAACATAGAGAAGTTAACCCAAATTTCACCCCCAAATACATTATATCCTCAATAACATAGTAAAAATCACACCTCCATCGCCATGACAGCTGCAATGAGAACCAAATATAGCCAAAGACTCTCCTGTCTGATGTGAAGGTGGAGCAAGCCGGAACTCCATGAAGACCCACTGTCCCCTTTGAAACCGATCCCCACTTAGTGAATATTCACCTCTCTTTACATAAAATAGCTCCCTACTGTTTCCTCAAGGCAACCCCCGCTGCCTCTGCCCGCGTTCAACTCTAGGTGTGTGCTTTTGCTTTTCTCGAAACTCTTATTTTCCAATAAATTTCTAAAGCTCATCTGGTTTTGCATCCACTCTTAAGTTCTTTCTCACAATGAGACAGACCAAGGACCCTTCTCCAGCAACAGACTGGGAGCAAAACTGAGGGGGTGTGGGCGAGAGGCCAAGCTCTCTGGAGCAGGTGAGGCCCGTGGCTGGCTCTCCAGCCTCTGAGAAAGGGCTACTGGAGAGTGAGTGAGGGGCTTCCCCGCAGGGCGGGGATGGCTTTGAACTAAGGTAGGCAGCCCCACTCCCGAGAACAAACATTGTGCACAGAACACAGCTCATGTTCAGTGAATGAAAGACAGAGCCAAGGAGCAAACGAGTGAGGTGCTCACTTCAGGTGCTACTTTTGATCAGAGTCGCATCTCACACTGGCCAACTTGTGGTGACTCCTGGTTGGCATTCAGTGGACAGAGAGGAGTGGAGAGTATGGAGGGAACGGCTTGCGTTTCCACTGGACACTGGCCTGAACTCTGCAGACTGTAAGCTGCTGACCATCCAGAGCAGTCATTTATCCCCTTGCAGGGTCTCTAAGGGGACTCAAAGCAAAAATTGGCTCTAGTTGATCTGGAAAAAAAATAAAAGCCATCCACACTACCAGAGAAGAGTTCCAGAACAGCAGTTATGACTAAATATCTTTTCTTTGTGATCTTTCTCTCATTTCACCCTTCTTCCCATACATTACTGCTCAGAAAAGAGATTTTTTTTTAAAAAAAGGGAAAGGAATTAAGGCCTTTGTAGCTAAGGTATGCATACATGTGCACGCACATAAAAACAAGCACACACAGTGTGATTGATTAAGCAAATAAAGCTGCAAGCCCTGCTCCCAGGGATGGGAAACACTGTCATGCCAGCACACAGCCCCTGTCCAGTGACATGATCTCTGCCTCGTACCCCTCCAGCCAATAGGCCACTGCCATGCTGGCAGCGGAACAATAGTGGCTGACCTTTCTGCTGGTGCAGAGCAAGGTGAAAAACAGGAAGCCTACATGCCCCCACAGAAAAGTGTAAAAATGTATTTGCAAATAATTTCTAAGGATGTGGCTAAACAGCGGGAGAAAAGAAGAGATGCTAGTGAGCTTTAAAATTAAACTGCGTCTGGCCAGTTCCATGGTCTCATTTTCTAAATGTCTCAAAACCAACTTAATGATCTCAAAAGCCTTTGAGTTCTGCACTGATTTCAACTTGAAACCCTCCCCTCTTATTTTTTTTTTAAAGGAGGACAATATATAAGGAAGAAGCACAAATTCCACACACTTACTAAACGAAAAGTTACTTTTTAAAAGCTAAAGCAACCCTTATGTTCACTGAAGCCCATGGAACAGACAGAAACCACTGCTCAACTTAGAATGTCCAGGAAAATTCCTTTTGTTAGCCAGGGGATGCCTAGAAGAGCACTTGGATTTCTAAAATATTTCCGTATAAAACTGCGACTTTTTCTTATCCTATTTTGCATGTTGAAACTGTACCAGTCAATCGGATTCCAGGCAATGTGACCACAGAATTTTAGAAGCTAAAAGGAGATACTGTGCTGAGAAGGCACCCCATTCTTAAATGATATTTTTAGATCTCAAAAGACAGAGAGCCTTTTAATTGGTATTTTATGCAAGAATTAGAAAGGCAGGGTTCAAGGGAGTTGCCCAGGGATGGGGTTTACCTCGGGGAACAGCAAATTCACTGATGGGGGAGGCTGAGAACGTGGGACCCACACACACTGGCCCAACCTCGCTCATCTTTTATTCAGGGGCAAAGAAACTCGTCCCCGAAGGGCTGCAGGCACACAGCCTAAGCTCTCCGCCATGCTGAGAGAACTCACAATTTTCCGCTCATAAAATGCCCCGCTGCTGTAGGTGGTGGCCAGGGTGGATGCGCACTCCTCCAGGTACCACGGCTTGTAGCCGTTCTCGGTGGTGCTGCTCACGGAGATGGTGTAGATGCTGTTGGTGTAGCCATCGCAGGAGCAGTAGTCCCCTTCTCGCCCGCCGTTTCCAGACGCCCAGACAAAAACGGAGCCCAGGCCCTGCCGGCCCTGGAAGGGGAAGAGAACAAGACGTCAGCCTCGCAAGCCAGACCTCGCAGGGTGGGGCTCGCCCCAGCCTGGGGTCCCCCATTCTGAGGGCCCCTCCAAAAGGGCCAAAAAGGATGAGCTCCGACCATATGGGAGCCACGAGGACATGGTTTTGTAAGCTTTGTTTTGATCAGAGTATTTCTACCTGTGGCAGCAGCCTTAAAGCTGCAGGATCACAGGATCGTCGTGAGGAGAGAGCCCAGAAACACCTCTTCTTTCATCGTGGGAAAATCAAGAGCCCTCAGAGAAGCTGTTCTACTCCAGAGCTATGCCTGCAATTCCCATTACAATGACCTGTGATCAAAAAGCCCAAGTGGCACCACAAGTAATACTGAGATGAGAAGTTGATGGCTGAGTTTATAACATTAATTTTTTTCTGGATTAAAAGAGTTGGTCCTGTGGGGAAGAGGGTGAATTTTCCTGAAAACCCAGTTGAAGCAGCACTCTTCTTAGAAAATGAGCTAATTTTGAAAAGAGGGATGGGACCCTGAATTTTGGGAGAAGACTGAACAGCTAGAAAGGGTCAAGGTCCAGAGCGCCCATGGCTCATGGCTGTCCTATGACAACTCCCCAGGGTCTCCACGGTGGGCAAGCACTGAGACGGTCAGACTGTCAAGCCAGCCAAGCCTAGTGGCCTCACTTATGTGGGCTTTTAAGAATGTCTGCAGGAAAGGCAACAGGGGATCCAGACAGGTTCCTGCAACTCTGTTCCATCAATTACTTCTGACCCAACCAAGTGCACATCCCAACCATAAACACCAGCTAAAGATGAGCTCAGACAAGACAGAACTGACCCATTTGGTTCGAGTGGCTGGACCTGTTGGTGCACAACTGGCCCCCTGAGAGCAGCGCCAACACCTGTCTCCACATGAAGCTGGACCCACATTCTTGCCAAGGACCCTCTTTTCCAAATGTGTGGGAGGAAATGGGTACTTATGCCCAACAACTAGCCAATTTAATGAAAACTTCCAACAAAATTCTGCAATTCCTGCAGAGTCAAGCTGTAGCCTTGCCACTGACTGATGTCACTCACCCTTGGAGTTCAAGTCCACCCTGGGCTCAGTGAACCTGCCTGCTCTGGAGGCCCCATGCCATTCCACTTTGTAGACCAAGTGGACCACAGTTCCCCACCCTTTTATGCCTATTTGTCTCGACTCTGACACTTCCTCCACTTCCAAGCTGAGGCTCCCAACAGCCCCCAGGGAAGGTCCCTCTGTCCCGCTGCTCAAGGCTGCCTCACTCACACTGTGTCCCACGGCTCCAAGGTGGACCAACCTGAATCACCAAGAGCTGGATGGAAAAGCTGCTCACATTTAGCAAAAAGGTCAACTTCTCAAAGAAAGGCACAAAGTACTAAGGAAATGGGTGTGTCCGTGCATATAATTGTCTGTAGGGAAAGGTTAATCAGAGACCAGTTCAAAACAACTTAAATCCAGATGAAAAGGTATTTAACCCATCCAAGCCTGTCTTTATTCCATGGGAATCATCTCTAAGACACTGTCACCCCTAACTCCCAGCCTACTCCCAATTATTTATAAAAGGTTGCCATTTGGCAAAGGGAGCCTGCAACCTTATTGCTCCAGCAGCACAGAGAGTGGCGTCAAAGAGCAGGGCTCACGCTTGGGTGTACACAAGAATCACCGGGGGTCTTGACACATCGCAGACTCTCAGCAGGTCGGGGTGGCCTGAGATTTTGTATTTCTGGTGAGCTCCTAGGAGATGCCAGCACTGCTGCTTTGAATAACAAGGACCTAAAATACGAAAAGCCTGCATTTTCCACCTTACTCTGTGTAGTTACTAGACCAGTCAGTTTCCACAGCGTCATGGCATCAAAAGCCTCTTTTCCTTCTGAAAACAGTTTCCTGGAAAGAGAACCATGGGAATGAGGTGGAGGAAACACCCAGATCGAGGTGTAGAGATGTTTTAGCTGTATCTGCAAGACTGCATTTTCACTTCGCAGGTCTTCTGCTCAGATGGAAGCCGCAGGGGACATTTCAATTCCAGACGTGAGCTTGCATTTCAGTTCAGGAAAGCCACGGCCCCAACCCCATCAAAACATATTTCAGCATCTTGCCTGGGAAGTGAAGGTTCATCCATGAATGCTGAAGTACCGTTAGGAGACAGTGCTTCAGGGCTAGGAAATGCCTGGTGTCTGGACAAGGCCAGTGTTTTCAGCCACAGTGATGTTTCAGTTTTCTTTCTGGATGACAAGCCATGCGAGGAGTAAGACTTTATAAGCAACAAGATGAAGCAGATCTTTATGCAAAAGGATGGCTTTTGAAGTCTCCTCCCACCAACCACACTGTCTACCAAAGATGAAGTCAGATTTTACAGAAAAATACTGCAGGTGACAAATGGGGCGTGGAGGAGGGAAACAGATGCAGGAATTGGTTTGGATTGAGGTAATGGGTAATCAAATTCCTAGAAGGATTTTCAGTGACAATTTTAGACAGCTGCAATTTAAAGCTCCCTACGTGACACATTTTACTTCAGAATGACAAAAAAAAAAATGAAATGACCTCAGGTTTTCAAGAAACCGTGACAAGAATGACAAGGCACCACCACATGGTCCTCTCTGCAACTTCCTCATTGCCCTGCCGGCACAGTGAACCCGCTGCTGCTTGGAATTCGGAACGCAATCCTGCGTGGGTTCAACCTGCACAGACCTAAGTGGAGCTGAGACCCTAAACCATCATTTGAAAATCATCATTACCTCTCCCAGAAATAGGGAGCCCTGTCCTATGATCTCAAATCTTTAGAACTTGCCTCACAGAAATGACAGACGTTCAGGATCAACACTGTTTAAAGAAATATCTTTCATGGAGAAAACGCAGTCCCTGACTTACAGGCTTAAATGACACTTAATTTTTAGGATGTTTCACTTGTTATCTCAAGAGTGAGAGCTGAGTGATCCAGTGGGAACTGAGTATTGGGGTATTGGGAAGGTGAGTCAGGTTTGTTTCTTATTATTCAGCAGCCCCTTGCAGGCAGTAGCTGACTTGGTCACGCCTGAACCTTCCAGCATCCCCAGGTCAGTACCTAACTGAAGCAACCTTTGTGTTTTCTTGGGGTCACAGGAGTAAAGGAAGCTGTCTGGTGTCCCAAGGGTAAGGTCAAATGCTGTGGATGTGTTGTGTATGTCTACACTGTCCCCTCAGCCCTTTTACTTTTCTTCTCTCATTGAGTGTCTGGGTGAGCGGCTGAGCCCGGAGGGCTGCAGGAATGGACGTCCTGCTTTTGATCACTAGCTCCTCAGACAGGCAAGCCCGAGGCACAGCTGGGCTCCTGAGGTCAGGAGGTACAGGAGAGTGTGGCCTGGGGCAGGAGCCAGGAAGTGTGAAGAAACCGGGAAGCTCCCAGGCATTCAGGAGGGGGCGGGTGACCAGGTGGGGCCACCTAAGAAGTAAATACTCAACCACCATAAAAGGAAATTAATAGAAAATGATCAAACTCAATATATCCAGAAAAGCAATCAAATCATATTATTTAGAAAAAAGGAAATCACGTTAAAAAGACTGTTCCTCTGGGAGGAGGACTGGGTGGTGGGAAGTGGGAGACAAAGAAAGCCTGCCTCCCATTCGATCCTCTGTTCTATTTGGTCTATTCATTCACTATTAGTCACATTTTGATCACAGTGTATGGGTTACAATAATATAAGGACTTAAAAAACGTTTTAAAATATATAAACAATAAAATGGGCTTCATCAGCCCCTCTCTCTCCCGTTCCCATACAAGTCAGAGGTATAAATGCTGCCCCAGAGACACCCGGTCTTCCTGCCCAACCCCTGCCAGCATCACTGGGCCACACCTTATGCTCTGGGCTGGGGCTTCTTGGGCCACCCAGGGCTGCCTGGACACTGGACCACAGTTTTGTCTGCTCCAAGAAGCTCTCCTTGCCCAGAAATCCACCTCTCCACCTGGCTTGTAAGAACTAGGTCATCTCCAGTCCCAACCCTCCCCCTCCCCCAGCTGTCTGATGCACACCAAAGGCCACAGAGTAATGGGGACGGCCTCCTGGGAGGAGCCTGCCAGCCTCCTCGGCTTCCCCTCAGCCGATCAGCGGAGAACCAGCACCCAGGTGTTTGTTCTTGTTAGTTCCTGGAGAGGTTCTACTCAGGAAATTCTGAACACATTGGGCTGCGTGCTGGCAGGGAGGGCAAGACCAAGACTTTCTGTTCTGGGGGCAGGGAGGGCTGGATTAGTGGATGCCCCTCGATGGATGTAGAAAGCTCCACAGCTGGTATTTCCACCGTGGACACCCCTTCTACCTGCACAGTCCAAATAACAGGCCCGACAGGCAGACTAACACCCTACCACCTGCCTGCACTGCCTGCACACACCCCTCAGCCAGGGTCAGTCAGGCTCCAAGGCAGAGTCTGGGGCTGGCAGGTGACCAGTTGGCGCCTGTGGGAACAGCTATTCTGTAACAAGGTGAAATACTTCTGCTCTGGCTGGTAGAGAGCCACTTCCCCGAGGCCCTAAATGCTTTTTCCCACACTCTGGTCCTGGCACAGCAGGGCCTTCCTGGGCCTATGGTAGAGCTCTGGCTGTGCCACTCTGATTTTTAACTGTTCAAACACAATTTTGCTGTTCTCCCCGCCCCCAAGAGCTGCCCCCGTGGCCCTGGGTTACTCACACCTTTTTAATGCCATACTCAAAGGCCTGCTTTGCCAGCCGGCCTGGTCCATCCACCGTCTTCCCGTCGTCGTCTGGCCCCCAGCTGGCACTGTAAATGTCGATGTAGTTGGGTCTGATGCCCAGTGACTTGGCCTCGACTACATCCGTCACGTCGCCATCCAGCATGCGAATGCCTGAAAGCAGAGACAGGCTCAGTGAGTGTGTGCATGCGGCACTTGGAAGAGGCACGCGGATGGTGATCCCAGGTACAGAGGCACAGCCAGAGAGCCTCTAATAGCTTGTGGGGTTTTCCAATGTCCTTTGGGTAATGTTTTTTCCCATTCCACACCAGTCAATGTGAAAGAAAGAATAAAAATGGCACCTCGGGCCGTGTCGCGGTGTTCCCAAGGCATGGCAGCATCGAAGACGCAAAGCTACCTGGAAGATCCAGGATTTAAACAGTTTCTTCAATACTATGATGTCACACTGATATTTAAAAATGGACATTTCTATAACAGAATACCAGAGTCTTCAGCTTTCCCCAGCTGTGAATACTTCACATTTATTTCTCTTTTTTAAAAATATTACTCCATCCCTGATTTGTAATTAGGAGCTTTTAACCTGGAGGACAGAAATCCACACCCTAGCCTATCCAGGAGGGGCCACCTCATCTCTGTGTGTCTTTGGAGGGGCCTTAAGAGGAGTACAGCTTCCTCAAGTGAACCCCTAAAGAGGCAATGAGCAGGTTCCCAGAAGCCTCTCCCAATTCCTAGGCCCCAACACCTGACTCCGGCCATGGGTTTCCTCCTTGACCCCCCAACCCCCTCCCAGCATTTGCTTTCCATTACTGATCACACTCTGCAACCAGGGGTGGTCCCCGCCCCCCAACCCAGTGCTGATTGGAGGGGGGTTCTCAGCAATGCTGGCACAGGACTGGGAAAAAGGTGTAAGAACAGCCACCAGCACGTTCTGCCTGGACACTAGTAAGTATGCAAAGTCGGACCTGTCTGGGGCTCAGCAAACCTCTGCTATCCCAGATCAGCATTCTAGGGTGGCCACTCTGCACCTACAGCCACCTGGCTCAAGAGTCCAGCTCCATATGTGCATGGCCATTCCTTTCATCAAAATGAATTTTAAATCTTACAGCTGTTTAAGATACAACAGAAAAGGGGACTTCTTCTGATTATAACACTAGCATCTGCTTTTTGCAGAGTTTGGGAAATAGAGAACTAACTGGTAATAATATTTTGGTTATTTTCTCTTCATATTTTTCTTTGCCTGCATCATATACTTTCTCTCCAAGTTCTCTCTTTCCCACTGAACTTTATATAGAACATTTCCCTCTGCCATTAAAGGCTCTCCCAAAGCATGATTGTTAATGGTTGCAGCACCTGTCCTGTGAACCCCCAGCCCAGGCAGCATTTTTTCCGGGGTTTGTCTCACCAAGCAGAGGGCCCCTACCTCCCCTAGACTGCACTGGATCTTTTCATTCTATATCCCACAAACTACATCCATGTATGGTGGGTATTCAAAAAAATAGAACTTCTGAATATAATTGATTAAAAAAAACAAAATAGTGACTTTCCCCTCAGGTAAAAAGAGATGGTAGGAGGCTCAAGCAGGTTGAAGCCTAAGAAGGAGATTCTTTGAGGAGATACCCTCCCCGACACTTCCCCAGGTGCTCAGGGACTGAAGTTTTATGTGAAATAAATCCTCCTGTCTCATTCATTTAGCCTGTAATTGTGGGGATACTCCACTGTGTTTTTGAAGGATAATTGGTAGACAGAGATGCTAACATATCAATTTCAAATGATCTTGTCCTCTAATCTCTCACCCAGTAGTACGTGGATTGTAAACAAATAGCTCAATGCACTTGACGATTTGCCAGGGAAAGAACGTGATGGTGACAACTATGGTAAATTCCTCCATGCCATCAGTCCATTTGACCCAGGTTTGAAGGTTCAGGTTTCCTGGTTTTTTTCTCCTTAACATCTGTCCTCAACCTTACCAGCTGTGAGCTGAGAAAGAAGATGCGGGTCCTCAGGAGGCACAGCAGGACAGTGGTGGTGGCAGTGAGAGGGCCAGCCGCACTAGAGCACAGCACCTTGGGCGGGCAGCCAAGCTAACTTGCAGCTCCTGCTCAGAAAGCCTGGGAGTTATACTCAAAATCAGTGCCAGAGAAATTTTTAGCAAAACAACAGTGAGACTGAGGTTTGGGAGGCATCAACAGCCCAGCGACAGTGCTGACAGACATTCGGGAGTGTCCAGCCAGGGGGTATGGGCAGGGACTGGGGATGGTGCTAAAGTCATAGGAAGAACCATCTCTTTATAGCTTGAAGGCCTTAAAAATGAGCAGTGGAAATGAATTTAACTCCCAAACCACCCATTTCCTCTTTCAGCTAACTATTT